GACATAAATTCAAGCTGGGTACAGTAGCACACACCTGGAATCCCAGCACGCCAAGCACTCATGAAGCTATGGATGCAAATTTCCAGGCCAGCCTGGGCTACACGATGAAACCCTTATACATACACACACACACACACACACACACACACACACACACACACACACACACAATTTAGAATCTGTCTGCCTAAAATAAAGATTCTAAATACACAATTTCATCCACACACTATTCACTGTTTTGTTTTGTTTTAATGCTTCACCTATATTCCTGTAGTACCATTCGGTAAGACATGAAAACCTTATGGGGTGTGGTGGTGCACACCTGAAATGCCAGTACTCCAGAGGCTGAGGCGGGAGGCCAATCTGAGCTACTGAGCAAGATCCTGTCTCAAAGGAAAAAAGATTTGAAAATTTTATCTGAACTCTTTTGTGTATATACTAAAACCTACATAAAATTTCCTTACCACATACAGATTCTTCTGTAGTTAACCTGAAACCTACAATACCTCAAGATTACTCAATTAAAATGAAAAGGAAGTCTTTTTGATCCCCAGGGAAGTCTTGCTTGTCCTACAAACATGACTCTCATAAACTCCAAGGGTCACGGTTAAGTGTATGAGCCACAGATCACGAGGCATTGCAAATATGCAACATTAACAAAAACCTGCACACATTATTCTAGACAGGTCCTAACTAACCAAATACATCAAAGCTACTTAACATAGCCATTTAAATATTATAGTAGGAAAAGGCGATACCAGAAAATACTAAGTATTTGAGATTCATTTTCCTATTCTTTTATTCAGGTAGCAACATTAAAGAAAGAAAACTCATATGGCAGAACAGGGACTTGACTTTTTGAGATGTTACTGCCTTTTTATCTTCAGCTTTCAATAATTTGAAACTACAACCCGCAAAGGCAGTTTCTTTTGTCAATCCCTGTTTCGGGACTCACCAGAGTATATGAGTGCTTCTGCTATCAGCACATCATGCCTTCCCAACAGTTTTACCTCTGCACATGAAAAGCTATAGTTCTAAAGACCCACTTGGCCAACTACACATTTCTAAGTCCCTCCCTTTCCACTTTGGAACTTTCCAGGGCCTGTCCATTACCCAGCTGGAGCTCATTATTGTGGCTGGGCATTTCTATAGGGTACAACTCAACACACCAAACCAAATTTTAAATTGTTTTAAACTTCCCTCACAATACTTCCCTGATCCTTCACATTGCTGCTTTGCTTCTAAGTCTGTATTCTTCCACCAACAGCAATGTTTTTCAAACTGCCCGTAGCTACCACAGGCTTCTTAAATCGTTAGCGGCTCCACAACATCATTTCCTCTTGAAAATTAAATGGGATTCAATTGAATAGAAACTACCAGATTGCCTCACACAAAAGAAGCATATTATTGTGTGCTATTTTATCATTTAAATGTGAGAGTACTAGGTCACAGTGTAAAAATGCACACTACCGATAGGGTGTATATTTTATTTTTTAATTTGTTCTTGTTTTGTTTTTAAGTAGGCTCTTGCTATATAGCTCAGGCTGGTCTCAAACTCCGGCTCTTCCTGCCTCATCTTTCCAAGTACTAGGAGGACATGCACAAGTACAGGGCATGCACCACTACACCAGGTTAGGGCATAGCTGTTAAATTGTAAACACACCTGTCTACAGCATAATCCAGTCTATCATTGGGATACAGTTTAGAGACTTCCTTCTCTACACCCAAAGGACTCCAAGCAAAGCTCTTAGGCAATTCCTCTTCACGGTGCTGTCAATCACTGTTCTGCCAGAATGCCTCTAATCTGTCCACAAGGCCACCTTTACTCACCATTTAGTATTTAATATCTCTACAAAGTCCTTTTATCCTTCCCACAGTAGCAAATGTACCCTCATACAAACACATTTATTCGCTCTGCTTCTACAGATGACCTACTTTATAGTTCTTTCAACATTTTATGTTTTTATTTTAATCATGACTCTTTCCCTGTTCTAAACTATAAGATCCTTGAAGGAAGGAGCACACTTTACTAGTCTCTGTTCAACAGCACTCAGCTAAATACATGCCACACAACATGTGTTGACTGTGTAGTAAAATGAACCAAGACCTAAGGACCTGCATGTAACTTCTATTGTTAGGAATGGTGGGATGATTGCCTTTATTCCAAGTGCATTCCTATAGCAGGTGGATCAACATTTCCAGAGTTTTGCTACAATGCCCTGCAGCCTCAAGCAAAAAGACTCAAGTTTCTTACCTTTGAGCAAAAACGGGAGTCCACACAGGTAGCAAAGAATAAGCACCCACTTCCACGCTTCATGAAGTTATATGGCAAAAGTGGAGGGGGCTCAAGGTTCCCAAACGGGGGTAGATAATTACAAACAAAAAAATGCCAGCACTATCAGACTCCATTAGCAGGTGGAACCCAATTATATATATTAATATTAGTGATGGGTATTATGCCATATACGCTAAGTAAAAAAAAAAAAAAAAGCAGCATGAAATAACTGGCTGAAGTTACTTGATTTCTGTTGCCTTCTCCAACAGTTCTGAAATAGCTCCTGACTCACTACATTAGGATACACTACTGGGGGGTGGGGGTGGGGGTTACAACCTAACAGGAACTCATCACTGAGAATCTAAAGTTTTGCACAGCCTTCATCTTATAAACACCATTGTCTTTATTTGCACCTATTTACAAACCCACTCTTGAGCTGACCTCACTGCAATTAAACACAGTTCATGCAACTCTGGCAGACTCTGCCAACTGTCAGTTTCAGCTGTTCTTTTCTTTTTCCATAGTTCATAAACTACAGGAGTTATATTTTTTCTGCCTAATCACCTATTTTATTAAAAATAATTCCTCTGCCCCTAGAGTTGTAATTATACTCACAATAATCAAATATAAATCCTATTATAACCTAACATAAACTTAAAAATCTATCTGTAATGAAATTCTTCAGCCACAAAGTTTATTAGATATTTGTCAAAGTAAGGCAATTTAGGATTGCCTGGGAAAAGCTTTAAAAGCTGTTTAAAGCTTTTTACTTTTGTTTCAGATAGATCAGATGGCTATGCCACCTATACCATGTATAAACTTCAGCCAATGCCTCTGCTCTGCGGTTGTCTCTTTTCTCACCTACCCTTCCTCTTTCAACAAAGCAAATAAAACAGGTCACTCTCAATGAGAAAGGGTCATCTTCCCAAATACATTCTTTGAAAAAGAAAACTGCACTGTAAATCCCTGTTCCTTTTTCTCTCAAGTTCATCTTTTAAATATTTTTAAAAGGGCAAATAATTTGTTTATAAACAAATCCAATTATGCTAAGTGTATAAATATCTAATAAACCTTGTGGCTTACTTTCGTATTTCAAATGCGAGTCTTCTTTAGTATTAAGTTCATCCCACGCTTCCCTTGGTAAAAGAGTAGTTTAAAGGCTGTGGAAAACGGATCAGCTTCCATGAGGCCACCACTCCAGTCTGGAGAATGAAGCCTCCAGCAGCTTTCAATATGAAAAACTGCCACCTGAGTTTTGTGTGTATCTGTGCACACGCACTCAGCGCTCCAATATGGCTTAAGTAACACATTTTAAGTAGTGGAGCTGCAGATGCTCAAGGGAAGCCATGTTTCAAAGGTTTTAAATATTAATTTTTTCAGTCTTTTATTTAAAAATTGGTGCAACTGATCCAAAACATTTTCAAACGCTATTATTTCCTAGCTTAGAGGGGGGAAAGTAAATCTAAAAGAGCTCCTTCAAGAAACCAATTAAGTGAGCAGATGGAGCAAAAAAATTCATTTTTCCTGATTGGAAAACTTTCAATAAGAATACAGTCTATAAAGGTTAAGTCATTTCTCTTAGGTCACCAAGCTACTAATAGCAGCACCAGTAATAGAATAAACTGTTTAATTACATTCTCATCACTTGTCGTTTAAGTATTAAAAAATAATTATCAATTCCTGAGGAAGGACTCCTGCGACATATGTCTAAATTTTCAAAGTTGCTTAAGCTTATAAATTTCAAATTCTAACTCCCAGAAAAAGGTACTATCCAAGAACTTCAAAGAAACGTGTGTACCCCTAAACCACCACAGTGAATTACCAAGTCCATCATTTCAAACTTTGTTCCTCAAGGTTTGAGGGGGAAGAAAATTCTGGAAGGTCCTCTTTACAGAAAGCACTGGCAATCCATTAAAGAAACGAGCTCATTATTCCCGTAACAGGTCTGCAGCTTAAATTAGGAAGTCACTAAGAATTTCTTAAGCTCCGGTGTGAAGAAGGAAAAGTTTGGAAGATGCATTCTTGGTTGGCTTTCGGCTATGAAATGTGTAAATCTGACATGGTTGACACAAACTAAAAGATCTGAGCTGAAAACGGGAGAAAAAAAGAAAAAGTGAACAAGTTCCTTCAACCACAGCTTCTCTTCAGCAACCACACTGTGGAGCCCGCACCATGGGCCTTTGGGATTTTCTTTCTAATGCCCCAATAAATCAACGCCACACTGAGCTTTGGATAGTCAAGGGCGGGGCATGCGGAGGGCAGCGGATCAGTCCAAGAACGTAATCTAAGCACTCACTACAGTCGTTCCTTTGTGCAGCTGATTAGCTCTACAAAGTACTGAAAGAACGCAGCACTTCTCTAAAAGGCAGCGTCCAGCAGACCTAAGCTGGCATGGTTGTGCCAACGGATGCAACAGTGTGATCAACTGAGGGGCAGGGTAGACGAATGTACCGTCTATAAACATCACTAACGAAACTATCATTTGATGAACATCGCTAATAAAACTGTAATGAAGTTGCAGGCAGTAACACATTGTAATTAGGACTTCTGCTGTCACTCTACGGTAATACAAAACTATCCTGTTAGAGATTTAGTAGCACGCCTATATTTGAAAGCAGACAGAACCAGTTTAGCAAGGGGACGAATGGAAAAACATACTCCCCGTCTTCGCTCGACAGCACACACGTATACAGATTTAAGGCCGGGAGAAGCACAAAATCCTTACCCCATTTTGCCCAATGAGAACTCGCTCGGAAGTTTCTGCTCTTAAGCTACGGAATAACTTCAAAAGGATTCCTCCGTCTGCTATTTCGCAGTTGCTTTTCCACCCCACTCGAGACCTTTCCCGGAGGTAATTTCAACGATGCTGACAATTCAATTAGTTCCTGTCGGGAAAATGATTTTCTCTCGCGCCGACACCAAAACGTTCAAATATTTGCTGATTAGAATTGGAAAACGCTACGCGGAGCAGACAGCAGTCAACTATTCCACGAAATTAGTGTCCATGTAGGAAAGAAAAACAAAAAAAAAAAAAAAAAAAAAAGAAAGAAAAGAAAAAAACAGCTTCACCGAGTCCTGTAAAAAATGAGTTCGCTGGTCATCTCGCTCGCGTCCTCGACACTCGGGGACAGCCAGGTAACTCGGCCTTTTCGGTGCTAAGGCAGTGGGTTCAAATTTCTTCCCCACACCAGGTTCCTGGGGGTGGAGCGTGCAACCCAACGCGACGAGCTCTTTAATAAAAATCCTTCCAGGAGCGATGCCACTGTTTCCCTGCGCTTACATTAGAGAGGGAATTAAAAAAAAAAAAAAAAAAAAACTCTAGAAAATCTCCTCGAAGTGCAAACCCGGCAGCTCGCGCCGTGCACCGCACACATGGGAATCTGTCCTTCCCAGAGCTGCCCTCCTAAGACTCGGAGCAGAGAGAAGGTGAAGAGGAGGCAGAGAAGGCTGGGGACGATCGATCCGTTCTCCTGAGGAGCATCAGCGGAGCCATTTCTAGGCTGGCAGAGGCTGGGGGCGCAGCTGCCGCCGGGGCGCAGCGGAGGGGCCCGAGCCCACCTGCCTCGGCCGCTTCCCCGCCCCGCCGAACACAATGGAGCCTCGCCGACACCCGGCTGCCCGCTCTCGCCTCCCCTCCGCCGAGCACGCTCGGTCTCGGGCTCCCGCCAGAGAATGAATGAAGCAGGGCAACCAGCCCCGCGCGGCCCCGGCTCCCTGCCCCCAGCCTCGGGCCGGCCGAGAGACTGCGGGTGGGCGCCGAGGAGTACACTGGCGGGCGGACGGCCGCGCCGAGGCGAGGGGCTC